AGAATGTTGAACTTAGAGTCAAGAAGACCAGAGTTCAAATTCTGTCTCAGATACTTACTACTTATTCGACCTTAGGTAAGTCACTTAATTCCTCTCACTCCCAATTTCCTAATTTATAAAATGAGAAGAATAATTGCATTTACTTCATAGCATTACTACAAGTTTCAAATGAAATAATATATGTGTACTTTGTAATCTTAAAGTGTTTTATATATCGTATATATGTATACCTTAACTTGCTATAACAACTACTACTATTGCTTTTTTTTATTATTATTATATCTATACAGACAAATGTGTGTGTATTGTTTTGATTGTGCTAGGTTTCATTTGTCTCTGTATTTATCATTCAGGTTATCTTCAGTCAAAATGGCACTGGTAATACTGGGGAGCTTTGCAAAAATGCAACGTCCTTGCCATCTGCTTTGCACATGCTATAAAATAATTCTGGGCTGGTCAAGGGAAATTCAATAGCAGTGAGTAAAGCAGAAGTTAACTGGAGAAGTGAATGAGAGAAATCTGAGAGGGACAGGATCTTTAGGTAATGATTAAATGCTTGTAAAGTGATCAGAAGATGACCAGACAGAATCCTTTGGGGAGAATATTACAGAGCAGAGCAGACAAGTGTTTATGGCTTCTCAGTTTCAAGGCTGGCCATGCATGCCTACTTGGCACCCTACTGAAGGAGGACAAAAATATACACAGACACAAAAGTAGCATGCAACAAAACATGACTGAAATGTTGAAGCGGAAGTGTAGCCTTATGGTGTACATCCTGATCTGGACACAAACGTATTCAATGCTGAAAAATGGAGAACAAGCCTGGAAAGCAAATTTACTTTTAAGCTCCAAGGAAGTGAGTGTTAGCTGTTTGCTCCTTCCATCCTAATTCAGCATTGGTATGCTGCTTCTCATTATATGGGCAAGTCAAACGCAGTTTGAGATGTTCCAGAGAGAATTTTTTTTCTTCCCAAATAACTTATTCAATGTGTAAAAGACAACATAATTCCTGGGAGCAAATTATGGTGTGAATGGGTTCTTGCTCACCCCCAGCCTTGGCAAATGCAGTACTTCTTTGGTAGGGAATGCTTTGTGCTGCCATCCCCCCGGAATATATATTAGAATCTTTCTCAGGCTACTTATAGTCTACTCTTCCTTAACTCAGAAGCTACATATTTTCAAGTCCCAGGAGTATTCTAATAATTCAGAATTGCCTCTTTAGTAGGTGTAGTATTAATGTTCTTCTGTCACTTATGGATCAAAACTATTTCATTTTTCAAATGAAGGCTCCAAGGGAATTAAGAGATTGATTTTCTGAGACAGCACTTGAAAGATGATTAAAAGCTGTAATATAGATACATAAGCTACATATGAATATTATTTCCTATATTTAATTGATATTGCTTCATCAGGAGGGCATGTGCTCCTTTTCCAGCCAAAAGAATCACAGGATTACAGACTTAGATATGGAAGGGACCTTAGAGGTCATCTTGCCCAATACCCTCATATTATAGATGAAGAAACTGAGACCCAGAAAGGCGACTCACCCAAGGTCATATATGTAGTACTTTAGTCAGGATCTGAATCCAAGATATTCTGATTTCATAGTGGGTATTTTTTGTACCATTCTGGGTTTGTGCTTTTTCCTCCACTTACATCAGTCTGGTTGTACTTGTGAATGATGACATATTTTAAGACGCTTGGCTGGACTTAGGGCTATGCTGCAATAGAAAGTTTATTGGCCTGCACAATCAATCAAATTTTGGTCTCCTTAATGCCATGCTCTCACCAATGGGATCCATCAACTAGACACTAACAAAGCTACAGATCATATCTACATTGCCATCATGGATTATGAATCTAGCTCTGTGATGGACAATCTCAGTCTTTAGCCAGAAGCCCAGGCTTGGGTCCTAATGGAGAAGGAATTACTTTTTGTGCTCCCAGGGGATAAGAATTCTCTGAATGGCAAAATCAAAACTTATATGAAGACATAGTGTTTTGAAATGACTGCGTAGAAAAAAGCTTGGGAGCAAATAGAAGAGTTTTCATGATGTATTTGCTTCCCAGCTTTATTGGAGCCAATATTTTCAATGAAAAAGAGACAGTCTGAAAAAAAATACATATATTTATTGTTCTCCTATTGTCCTGGCCTTAGAAATAGCCATTTGCATGCTCACTCAGGAAAAATAATAATTTGTACTGAGCAAATAGAAAGGGATGCTATGTTGATTTCCTTTGGTTTACCTATGAAAGTAAATTGGTGGTGGTGGTGGTGGTGGTGGTGGTAATAGGACTGGTTAAAGCGATCGTTTTAGTGAATGTTTGATGCTCATTTACAAGGCCGTGCACTAATTTCCAAAATTGTACTCAAAGCAGTAAAAGGGAAAAAAAAATCTTCCGAGTGCTAAGAATGTTCTTTTTCCTTCTACCTCTTGTGTGCTGCTTTTTCCATTATTTTGAAAGTAGTGGTGACAGGCTATATGCACCCATTTTAACTAACACCACCTCCACCCCTGCCCCAATCAAGTTTCCTGGTACCATTTGGTCCCAGCAATGAATTCATTGGGGAAATATTGTCCTTTTGATTCTATGCTTTCAGATTTTTTGGACAAATCAACATGCTGGAGCATATTTTGAATGCTGACAAGGTACTCACACTAACAAAAGAGGCTCCAAACAAACCCAATGCCCATTAAGTTTCTTCCAAGGCTGGCATTTCTTTTCAACTGACAGAATTATCACAATTTTTAATTAAAAATTTAACTTCATTAATATTTTAAAGCTCCTTCCTCCTTTTGTGAAGAAAGGACAAGCAGAGACATACTATTCTTCAATTCTGAAAAAAGGAGACAATGTGCCTCAATTAACTATAGAGTTAAACCTGAGGGGAAAAAAAGGATCCCTAAAGCAAGGAAAATGTCCTGGGCATTTAAACAGCAAGTGTATGCTTCTATCCAAGTTAGCTGAGATGCTTAGGAAACCCTCCTATCTCCCAGTACCCTCTTTTCTGTATACTCAATCATCTACAGATTTGAGCAAGTGCTCTGGGATTGTTTTGCATTTCCTTTTTTAGAAACTGATACAGTTAATCTAGTCTTATCTTCCTCATTAAAAAAACAAGAAACCATTCCAATGAACTCTTTTTCATATGTTTATCTAAATTCTGTTTCCTCTCCACCATGGCTACTACTGGTTGCCAGGTAGCAATGAAGGTCTGCTCACATGTGCATCTAATCATTGCTACCATTGTGTGGATGTACTTTTTGTCAAAATTATTTTCATTAGAAGTTGAACAGTTCAGCTACAGACACATCCACTTTGCTGGAAGGATTTTTTTTTTGTCAATTCACACATTCTGATGATAGATACAGCCCCACACAATACTGTGAATGTGATGCTTTTGTCAGAAAACTGCCTCCTCCAGTGTTTAATCCTAAAACTAGCTTGTTTATATTCAACTATGATTTCAGCATTTCAGTGCTTATAAAATGAAAGAAACTGTTCTAGGATGTTTGGGGGACATGATGACTAATAATTGTTATGTTAGATTTCATTAGAGGTTTCATTTGCTCTTATTTGAAACAAGTCTGTAGATCCATGTAGTCAGTTTCACACTACAGTTCCATAGGGAGTGAGGGCCATGTTTGTTGGTCAGGAAAGCTTTTGACTACTTTTAGCTCTCTCATGAAAACACACTACTTTCCATCTGCCTTTACTATAATCAACAGACCTTATAGGAAAGTGTAGGTGGGTTCCCCATAAGAAACCAAACCAAACCTAAATAACAATGTCAAGCTAGGAAAACAGGAAGAGGAGAAAGGAAAGAGGGAGAAAGAGAGAATACATACGACAAAGAGAGAAAATTCAAATACATTTAGATACAAGGAAGACAGATTTGTTGATTTGTTTTAATATGTGCATTGGACAGTGTACCCATTCATTGTTTAAAGTGATTATTAACTAGTTTTAGGATTTTTTCCACTTTTGGAGATCACTGCACAACTTATAAAAGCACACCTGATCTAGCATTTAGGATTTTATTTTATTTTTTAAATTATATGGAAACTTATGGCAACACATTATTCTCCATTGAATCAAAGAGGAAACTACATTTCTGGGCAAAGGGTTGTTTCAAGTCTGATGCTGTTCAGACTGGAGAAATAATATTTTTAATGAGCCCTTACTCCTTTAAAAAAGGTGAGCTATTTCTTTATGTTTCTATTTTTTTCCCCTTTCTCAACTAGCTTTTCCTTAGTTCTTATTCTAGCTCCCTAATTCACACAAGACTTTGTTTCTTTGAAAGTTCTCATTTTGTCATGCTCTGCTAATATGAGACCGGAATTAGTCTTCAGTCACAGGATAAGAGGGACAACCTTTGAAAATTTGATCTCATTTTCAAGGGTGTTTAGTAACGGCATAAATGGATCACTTTATGATAGGACTGCCAGGCAAACTTTTCCCACATGGTTGTGTATCATGAGTTTGCAACTTTTAAGAATATGTGCTCCTTGGAGCAATATTTGGTTATTGCCACAGAGAAGATAGTCACAGAATAATTCAAGTCAGTTTCATGTTACTCTCCTGTGGGACCCTGGGTCAAATTTTACCCTTTGCTAGTAACATTAAGCTCCAAGGTCAGTAGATACTCATAGGCAACTTTCTGGACAGGGGATTTATTACGATATTGTCTCTGGACCTGATGCTCTATGCTTAGTGTCGGTTTTATAGCGATGGTTTAGGATTTCTATTCAGCATCCAATATTCTTGCTGGCATGTTCAATTGCAATGACATACTATTTTCTTCTTGCAAAAAGCCCCACAAGTGTTTCAATTCTTAGCATAGTTGTGATGCTATAGCATAGGCTCCAAGGCTGCAGCAGAAGGCAGTGGAAGGAAATTATACCATAATCCCTTATTTAAGAGCCTGTTTCATGCAGATTACTCAAAAGGCTGGAGTTGAGGATGAATTGGCAAAGAGAGCTGCCTCAGTGATCTACCTTGGTAAGGATGCACATTGTCTTTCCATCCCCTCAAAGCAGAGGTTGTGTGAACTCCCATCTGGACTTTTTCCAGACACCTGTGGAGAGAAAAGTAACTAGAGATGAAGATCAATTATAGACCCTGGTTACTGACAAAGCATCACAAATTATAATCAGTGCTGTGCTGCACGCCAAAAATCAACCATGGCAAAGCAGAGACTCAGAATGGTTACAAGGATTGAAGATGAATTCATAAGGTACCTAACAACAGAGTCAGTTCTTCTACGCAAAAATTGAGATCCAAGTAACCCCCTTTTCCTATAACCTGTACTGGGATTGAACCCATTATTTATAAACTTGTTTTTTCCAAACAACTCGTATTTGGCTAAATAGAAGTCCAACCAAGGGACAAGGCCACTGCTTTCAGGAAAACCTCATTGGCTACTATGGTTGTTACTAAATTTCTTCCCTTTTGAATTCTATAGCACTTATAACTTGTATTACTTATATTTAATTTTTTTTCACCATTTCTTTACACTGTATTGTTTGTTGCCATTTCATGCCTTATATTGTCAAGTAGATTATAAGTGCCTGGAGGGCAGAGATGTCTAATTTTACTAGCACAATGCTGAGCATGTAGTAAATGGCCTGGTGGCTTATCATAAATACTAATTGATTGACTTAAGAGGAGAGGTCCTCTTAAGCCCACAAATCAGGAAGACATATTTATTGAAGCCCTAACCACGTGCCTGGCATTGTGTTTGGTGCTGTGGAAGATTCAAAAGAAGTGTAAGACAGGTATTATTCTCAAAGGAGAAGATCAGAAGATAATACGAGAGTAGACATTCATTAATGATATAATAATGATGGCTAACATTCAGATATTGTTTTGAGGTCTGCAAAGCTCTTTACATATGTTATGCCACTTGATCTTCATAACAACCCTGTGAAATAGGTGTTATCATTCCCATTCTACAGATGAGGATACTAAGAGAGGTTAGGTGACTTATCCAGGGTCATACAACTTGTAAATTTTTAAGGAAGGATTTGAACTTGGGTCTTTCTGACTATAAGGGGATCTCTGATTTCTTTTTTGTCAGTCCTCTCTTCAATGATGTAAAATGCAGCTCCTTTACCCCTTCATAGACAGTACTTCTGAATTGCTTTGGCCAAAAAAATTCATCACCCTGAGGCAATCTCGTGATGAATCTTTCTAAGCTCAGTTGATTCTTGTACAAAACATATATAGTCTCCAAAAGTCTTTGCAGTATGACAGGCCAGGCCAGAGCTTATGTTCTGCTGGCATAGCCTATGAGAACCCAACGTTAATTCAATACCACACTGAGGCATCAGAGTGTAATTGAGTTGATACAGATAATAAATAATATTGGAGTTCAGAGAAAGGAATAATTAGCTTTTAATAAGCTTCATGGAAGAGAAATTGAGGTGGGTCTTGTAGGAAGGGTAATAATCATAACAATAACATCATATTTATGTAGCATTTTATAGCCTGTCAATTATTCAGGTAGATGTATTCTCATACATGTGTATATGTATAAACATACTTATATATGTTCAAGTACACCATGGAATTAGTATTGCTACATATATGTGTGTATGTTTGCATATATATATTGTACCTGTGTGTATGTGTCATATGTTATAGCCTGTCTACACATACCACGCATCTGTCTACTTAGGTTATTTATATTTATTTATAATTTAAATTCTTAGCACACGTTAACCCTAAATATTTGCTTGTATAATGGAAGTTGTCCTCGCTAAGGTTCAGATAGGATTTCTTACTGATGATGAGAACCAGCATGACACTATGAAAAGGGTATTGGATTTATAATTGTTGGCCCTTGGCCTGACCTTGCTACTTGTTGCTTGTGTGACTTTGGACAAGTTATCAACCTTTCTTGGATCTGATTTCCTCCTCTATAAAATTAGGGGTTGGTATAGATTATCCCTTCCAGCTCTGAATCATCATTGAAGCTGTCGTCGTCATCATCATCATCATCATCATCATCATCATCACCAACCTTATATAGCATTTTAAGGTTTACAAAGCATTTTATATACATGATCTCATTTAACTTCAAAAGAAACAGATTAGAAAGGGAAAGTGATTTGTCCTAGGTCACACAACTAATACATAGCAGGGTCAAGATTTGAACTTACGTCTCTCTGGACTCTATATTCAATGCCCTATCCCCCTTATGGATAATCTAAATGCTTAGTTTAGATTTATATTTCAAATGTCAATGTTCTAATTGTATTGAGCTTAGGATGACTACATAAGCTTCTCAATGAAGTCCGCAGAAATTTGAGACTGTTTTTCCTGTGTAGAGTTGATTGTATGTTGGCCATAACAAAGAGCTGGACAAGTAGCCTACTGAATTTTCCATCAATGTCTGGACCCTGAAAAGGCATGATAGAGGGACAGTGAGATGCACTTGTATGCAAATAGCAACAAGAGACTGGGTTGAGTCACATTTAAGAATCTGTACTGTGCTCTCAAAGCTCCTCAACTGTTCACTGTTACAAAAGTGCATCACTTTTTATATCAATATTTCAAATGTATTATAAAGTATAAACAAGATTTAGCATATTGCCAATGATAACTTGAATATGAAAAGTTGCATGAAAGATATTTTGGAGATTTGCATGAAGAGGAAAGGTGCTCAGTTAGTCATATAATTTGAGAGAGAGACAACAGATGGGCAGCCAAAGTGGTATATTAATACCCTCTAGGGCAGGGTTGTCAAAAAAGATCCTAGACTCACATATTGACTTAGAAAACCACAAATTAACATTATCTGTGTTGTATTATATTTTTATTTATTTTGTTAAACATTTCCCAATTACATTTTTATCTAGCTACAAGGCTGCACTCACAGAACTTTGAAGGCTTCTTGCCCCTGGGCACTTCTGTTCTGGATGGCAAAAAAATAGGATGAAAGTTTTGGGAATTTTAGGTAGATCCAATGTAAAGGATTTGTGGGAAAATGTAAATATGCAAGAATTACACAGGATGAAAAGATGTCCAGGGCTTGTGATCTACATTGATAGAGGGAGTGTCCATACCAACAAAATCACAGACTCACTAAAGTCATATCTTAATGAATCAATATCTCATTTACATAGTCTAAGCTTCTTAAGTATATATAATAAACAACTCTTATAATTGTATTCACAACAGGAGCTCAACAGATGTTAAGGATGATGATGAAAATAGATTCTCTTCTTCAGTTCCATTCATTTTTAACATCCCAATTAGAGGCGGTGGCCTTATAGGGTGTTGCCTTGGTTGTCAAAGATTACATGAAACAGACTCTTCAGGTTAGAAGAGATCTGAGAGGCCAGCTAGTGAAATTTGTACCTAAATGAGCATTTCTTTCCTTACATATTCAATAAGTGGTCATTATATCTTTGCTTAAAGTACATCAATAATAGAAAACCCATTGTCTCCAAAGGCATCCCAATATAATTTCTGGATACTTTTATTTGTTAGGAAATTTATCTTAAGTCTAAATTTGCCTTTTTGCAACTATCAACCCCTGCTACTAGTTCTGCCCTCTCAGGTCAAGCAGAAGCCTAAGTCCTCTTTCATGTGAGAGTCCTTCAAACAGTTACCATCATGTCCTTCCCAGAAATGCACACAGTTCTCCCAATGTGGTTTGGCCAGGGTAGGCTATAGTAGACCTCATGTTTCTTTTAATCCAGCCTAAAATTCAATTGGAATTTTTTGGCTGCTAAAACACACTCACATGTTGACCTTGGAGTTCATCAAAACTCCAAGGACTTTTTCAAGTAAATTGCTTTCTTCCCACAAATACTCCATTTTGTAGCTAGGAAATTGTTAAGGAAATTGTATGGTACTAGAGATTGGCGGTTGCCAAAACTTACTTACAGAGCCAAAGTAGAGACATGGGGGGGGGAGGGCAGGAGAAAAGAGGAGGTATGCAGGCATGTGTAGTCATGGTTCTTTTTTTTGTGTGCTGTTACCAACAAAACAGGTTTAGATTTGCTCAAAGCAACTAGTAAAGAATTTGTGAGGAACCTTTCTCCTCACAAAAAAAGTCAGAAGTTCTAATCCATTGAAAGTAGGATTCCTTTAAAAAAACACTTTATCTCTCTTGCTTGCTAGCCCTCAACTGTTTTTTTTAAACAACTTGGATGTAATGCCATATACACATAGTTGAGAGAAACAATCTTGACTTAAGTCATAACAGAAATCTAGAATTTTCTATAACATTGTTATATTAGAGCACACAATTGGGTTTCAAATGTATTTTTCTTTCCATCAGTGATGTGACTTAAGAAATGAAATGTTCAAAATTACTTAAAAAGTTCAACTTGGTGTGCTTTCAACATGGCAATCCTCCTTGGCTAGATTATGAGAGCTTATCAGGAGGGCTCCATGTTAGGTACGAATGTTGAATTAAGAAGCTTTTAGTCCATGGGAGTTCTCCCAATTCCATTCACTCAATGCATGCTAAAGGCCTGGTGTTAAGAGCCTTGTTAAAATGAGGCTATTAGTCTTTTCTCTATAAATGTAAAGACCTTGCTGTTTGCATTCAGGGCTCCTTACATTAGTATGTACTTCTATCTTGGCATTGCTAGAATCAGCAGTTTTATAAAGCAATATAGTAAGAGGCCATTTAACCCCCCTATTTTCCCCATCTGTAGATTAATGGCAGAGGGGAAGATTTAATGCCTTTTCAAACATTTTTAACAATTCATTAAAAAGAAAAGAATAAATCACGCAGGGTTTTCGGAAAATGTCTGATTGTAAAAAAGCGGAAACAATTGAAAATTAACATGTTTTTCACATTCTACAGGTTAGAATACATTTCTGCCAATCTTGTAATTTATGCACCATACGTCAATTTTGCTGAAGAGATTTAAAAGCTGCTGTGATGGAAAGGCTGTGCAGAGAGTTGCAATAAGGCTTATTCACCTGTACAAAACATCCTCATTTACAAATATGTCTTGCTCAGATCCATTACAAAAAATGAGTCCCGTGCTGCCAGATACATCATAAGATTAAAATCCACAGCATAACATTTAGAGGCTATTTTGGAAAAAGTGG